GCAGCAGCAGCAGCAGCAGCAGCAGCAGAGGTAGTCGTAGTAGAGCTAGCCACAGTAATGGTAGTCCTAATAGTGGTGGCAGTCGAAGAAGTAGAGGTCCTTGAAGCATTCGCCGACGTCCTAGTCGCCATTGTCGTCCCTAATCGTGGAATTAGTCGTAGATCTAATCGCCGTCGCAATATTACCAAGCGGTCTAGTCATTGTTCTAGTTGCAGTAGTTGCTGCATGGATTGTATAACCTACATTCAATTGAATGCTTGGCATTTCTGGCTAAAATCACACGCAACTAATCATGAAACCTACCTACGTTTCCTGCTTTGACGGACTTCCAAGATGTGCTGTTCCAGTCTTGCTTTCTCTTCAAGAACCCACTGTTCCCATTCCGAACCATGAGCCACAGTAGGTCTTGGGCGTGGTTTCAAATTTAATTTAGGTATGCTCCGGGTGTATGTCTTCTTTGTCACTTTAGTCTTGACAGTTGCTCGTCGCGGACTTTTTGGAATAGGAATGTTGGCTACTGTGGGTATATCAGTTACATGACGCACGTGAGGTACGATTACAAGACCAGGAGCCATAACCATATTACGTCCTTTGAGCTTGTTGGAATCGGCTTCTGTAGTCACTTCACTGTTCCTGACACGAAAAATAATAACATAGATATAAACACTTTTGCATGAACTGTAGCACAGATTTCAATTGAAAAGCAAAATTACATGACAATGAAGTCGTAGGCGAACTCGAATACTAATACTACTACAAAAAAAATAATACAATAATATTAAAACGTTCCTGATAACTAATAACAATAACCAATAATAAAAAAATGTAATAGAATATTACATTTCCTTTATCAATAAACGAATTTTACATTCTAATATCTATTTTAGGTGTGTAACATAGGGTCTTAAAGGACGAAAATATGTGTAGTATCTCTTAAATAGGCAGTGCGAATTGTCATAAAAATATTTTTTAGATATATTTTACTTCACTTCAAATTGTTACATTTATATCATGAGTGTGGAGTATTAGAAGCAATACAAATATAATTGCTAAATCTATTACGTTTAAGATATCCATCCTTATAATGTAATATCTTATAATATGTCATGTTCTCTTATGTAATGCTGAGAATAATTGATATCAATATTTTAACAGAATTGTTTTTTGATTTCCTGATTCCAAAAGTGTGTTTCTTTGAAAATTCTGTTCATCCGTTCGTGAAGAATATTATTAGTTAATTATTAGAATATTATTATTATATAAATCCTTTAATTTTTTGGTATACTTCAGATGTACCTGGGGTCTCAAAATTTTAATAAAAATGGCTGCAAATTTAGTTTGACACGCAATTTAAAGATTTCTTAAAGCATGCATTGTAATGCTCTATACAAATTCAAAAGTTTGAAACGAAAATGGCTTCGGACCATTGAATTGTGTTTCTTGCAAAAGGTATGAAGAAAAAATTCAATATAACTATTAGTTATTAACTTTGGCACAGATCTGGACGCGAGATCTGTTAACGGAAATTTGTGAGCGCTAGTAATTATGCCATCTGTACATAAGAGCAATTATCGAAAATTGAGGTATAATTTCTAAGCAACGTTATTGTGATACTCCACGTTTCAACTCGAAATTACACAAAAACTACTAATATAAAAAACAACAACAAAACAAGTACATTAAATGATTAGAAGATCAAATATTTAGGAGCACTAGTGGGCACCCCTGCGGTTAAATCGCACGAGGCGCCAAATCCTTTCATTTGTCCGCACTGCCCAAACCCACCCTGCTCCTGGCCACCGCCTTCGCCCTGCGCTGCCTTGATTGGCCCCGATACTACCCGCCTAACGACTAAGTTAAAAAATTATTTTTTCAAATGTTTAATGTTTATATTAAATACACAAAAATGTAAACTACACGTGTTGGGGACTTCCAGTTTTCAAATAAAGTTCACATAGAAAGTTTTAGAAATATTTCACTGTGGAACCTGGATACGCGAGAGGTGAAGGAACCGCTATCTCTTTTTCGCTTACGGCGGTTTTCACTAAACCAGGTTCTGCAGGTACACGAGTGACTTTTCTCACTTACAGAGATTTAAAAAAATTAAGCAAATATGTAGTAATAATATGTATGTACTGTACAAGCATTTCATTAGAATTTGACATAATTGCTTACAAAAACAAAAAATCGTACACTAATATTTACTTAAGGAAATTCACTAAGTTCTTCCGCGTTTCTGCATTTCGAATATGCTTTTTCCGTTCATAAATCTTATCAATATAGTTTTATCGACAACAACTGAGTATTCAAAAATATGGTGGAGCGTCTTCCAATGCATTTCAAGCTTCTTGCTTAATAGAACGTTTGACTTTTTAAAACTTTTATAAACTAATTTCATAAAAGGTGGGTTCTGACAAACCAAACTCACTGTATTTCATTTCAGGATTTCCCGCTTTCGAACGCTTTCACTATTTTAAGTTTATAACTTGACAACTCTTTGGTTATTCGTTTTAACATTTTGAGTATGTGCCAAACCTATATCGCAATTGATACTTATCAACTGTAGCAAGTTCCACACTAGGACGGTACACACGCACATTTGGGCATTCGAATACAATACTATTCAAAAACAATGTTAGTTCTACGAAATATACGAATGGGTCATAAATAGTAGATGTTAAATACGCCTGAATGTCGCTTCTAGAGGTTCAGACAAGTGGCAATTTCAGTCATGGAGGTCCACGGGGCAAAAATTACTGTTTCTTTTGGAGGTTTCTGTTCCTCAATTGTTGAGGTTTGAGACGGTTAAAATGACGGGACCTGATAATTACTCTCACTTGTAAAGGCTCCTCGCTTACCCATTTCTCACTGAATGGCACAGACTTTCTCGTACTACTTAATTTTCTAATGTCTTTGCTCTGGGCTGTCCATTTGGCTACATCCTCTTGATAGCCGCCATTCACCGCCACCCAAAGTGCCTTATTGCATAATTTTGAGGTACTTTACACAGAAAAGTTTTGCAGAAACTTCATAAATCACCATTCGAAAAACATTTACTCATAAAGTCAATAACGTGAAGACATTTGTGCTAATGTAAAAATTAACGATGTGAAATGCTAGTCACAAAATTACTTTTTTGTGATTTTTGAAAAAACATCAACAAACGAATATAGCAAAATGGCGTTTACGTCATCTAATACAGTACATTTAGCACTTTCCCTACCAAAAGTATAAAGAAAAAAATTAGAAAACTTTTCAGCCCAATTACAATTCAGAATACACTTCTCTTCATAGTACGCAACACATTGCTTTTAACTGATTTCTGACATTAAACAAAGATATAATTTCTGCATAGTAGTACAAGAGAACGGGAAAATATTGATATTTAAAAATGCAGTTCCAGGAGGGTGCTCGAACAACTTTTACAATTTTTGAATAACTAGCGGTTTAATGAACACTGATCAACATGGTTTTGTTCTCAAGATACATAAATAGATAATCTAGTGAACTTTACTTTCTCGTATACATATATACAGAGTGATTACTTAGAAAAGGGCAAGTTCTGTAATGCTGCAGAAAATCAAGGCGGAGATTTTAATGGAAACACACCCTCATACAGAAAGTGTTGTTTCTAATACGTGTCTATCGGTCCGTTCGCCTTCCTTGCCTTCCGTACGACTTTTCGACAGTTATCTCTCGAGCAGTCTTTCACGTGGACAGTCTAGCACTCGGGCAATCTACCACTCGGTCATCTATCCCCTCTGGCAGTCTTTCAATCAGGCAGTCTATCACTCGGACACTCAATCATTCGGATAGCCAATCAGTCTGACAGCCTATCATTCAGTATATTCCTCAGACAGCCTGCCTCTGAGACAACCTGTCCCTCAGAGAGCCTGCCGCTTGGACATCCTGTCGCCCTGACAGGCTATCGCTCCAACAGCTGATAAGCTTGTCCAGGAGCGATAGCTCCGACAGTCTATCGCACCTTTAGTCTTACAAGTGAGCTCACTATCGAACGTTAGTGACAAAATATAAACTCAAATCTCAATTCGCAGCGATGAGCTAAACATTATAAACTCACTATGGCGAGAACTCACCTTAATTTTCTGCATCTGCGAACTTCTTGGATATGTAACTCAACTTTTTGCTTTGCTTCTTCAATCCACCTTTGCCTCGGATCTATGTGAGGTGGGTCCTCTGGTGATTCTTGAAATAGCATTGGGTGAATTGATTCTTCATCACTAATTCCTTGAACATCATATGAAGAGCTACAAAAATATAAATCGTTAAAATAATTTCACAAAGTTGAAGAGCATTTATTAAAAAGACTAAAATGTAATTGTAGGGTGTACCTCACATTTTTACGTCTTTTGCTAAACATTTACATTAAATAAGCTCACAGGTGTACCGCCCAGCCTGGACAAGCTGTAAGCTCCCAACTGGTCTCCAGTTATGTGTGAAAGTGTAGTGCATGTAAGTGTATGTTTGTAAGGCAAGAGGAAGGGAAAAGGAAGAGGGAGGAGAGAGCGTGCGGGGTCGTTGTTAATGTACTGTTTCGGCATTCGCCTGACACTGATCGAAGAAAGCAGGCCAAAGCGGCCGCTAGAATTCACCTCCAGACAGCGGCAGAATTTGAACTGGGTATGTAGTTAGTGTCAAAAATCCGCTGCTGTTGGGCCTCGAACTCTTGAACCTCCCTGTCAAGAGTCGCAGCACAGATAGCAGCAAAGCTTCCCCTGAGCTGACGTCAACGGATAAAAGCGGAGTAGACAACACCCGAAAGCGGTCCTCCTCTTTCAGTAGTTGCGCGAGATGCCGTAGGGAGTTTTTAATCAAATTTCAACAGGGTTGGAAAAATACAGCGTTTTTGAAACGACCCTGTGAGCATTTTGGGGTTTTATTGAGGAATTTTTTTAATAAGGTGCATTAAAATGTCTTATTTTCATTAATTCATTCAGTCATTCAAACAGTCAAATTGCAATATATTCAATACAGCCAAGTGCATGTACGACCCAAGGATTCCTCCCCCACCCAGAGGTGAGCGCACAAGCGGAGGGACGCGACAACGTGACACACCTGAGAATTTTGAAACGGGCCCAGAAGTTTCACCAAGTATTATATTTTATTTCCTTATTATGTTGAATCCCTGATTTTCCGCTTCTCTAACATGACTATTCCACTCCTGAGTTATTAGTTTCAATCCGGCCAATAGTTTTTTATAATTAGATGGTTATAAACCAATCATGGACGCCTTAAAGCGAAAAGTTCACACGTGTACTTTTCGCTGTTGTCTTAATACATAACGTTCAAGTGTTTGGGAAAATAAATAAATATTCCTTCCAACAGAAATAAAATAAGTGGGTGCAATAATTGCATACAACGTCCTGTTGGAAACAGAAACATTTCATTTTTCAAACGCCTTTTTGGACAAAAGTACGATAACACGGAATTCCATTTAATGTACGACGTGGATCGTAATGGGAGACTTAGTACAGTGAGACTGAGGTGTGCCTTCTGCGCCTGCGCCCCCAAGTATTTATTTATAAAGCGTACACGTATTTACACCCTTAAGCAATTCATCTCGAGCGAGTTTCAATTATGTTTACACGCATGACACAATGTTCTTCGTTTTCTTATGCGTATTTGGGAAGGCTTGATCTTGGAACCTATGTTTTTGTTCTCACTTGTTCTTATCTCTTCAATATTTTACACTCAGAATGAGTGCATTTACTATATTCTGACACATTATTCTTGAAAGGTTTAATATGAACATGAAAGGAAGCTGAATATTAAGATAACAGGAAATGTAAAATTAATAATTATTTTTATTAAAGAATATTATTTTTTAAATTACTTATGCTTACCTTTGTAAAGACCGGCTAGAGAAAGAATAATTAGGAGTTATTTCCTGAAAAACAAAGCACATAAAATCATATCATTAATAAAATCAACTTTGTCACTTACACATCGTTGATAAAATAAAAAATAATAAAATTGAAAAAGTGCACTTTTGAGTGTGTAAATAAATAGTTTGTAAGGGAATAGAACAATGATAAACTACTAAAAGTTAGGAAACCTAAGATGTCGTTGACATTCATTGATTGATCAAGGTTTACAAAGTTTAAAAAAAGATGCTGCAACAAACATCAACCTCCTGTTATTTCATCCAATTAAATGGAACGTCCATTTAAATGAACTGAACAAAAATGAAGTTATTGAGCTCTTGTGTACATTTCACGAATGTTAATTGCCGCCTGAGATATGGCTTAGTATTCTGGGGAAACACATCGTATAGTTTACAAACTTTAATATTAAAGAAGAAAATTGTACGAATAATAAGCAAATTCCCCCTACAATCCAGGGTCTCTTTATTAAGTAAGTAATTCTAACATTGCGTTGACTCTTGATTTAGGAATCACTGGTTATTGCCAAAAATGTCTTGCTCAAGGAAACATATTTTCAGCGAATGCCGATGTTTATAAAAACCGATGTAGCAATTGCACTCATCATTAGAGGCCAGTTTTTTATGTGACTTCATATTTTTTATCTTTCTACTTTCAAACACTTGTTTCCATGTTCTCACGACAGTAAGTCGCACTTCACGTAAAATCTGCATTTGATTTGCCTTTACAAATAATTTTTAATACATAGGGAATATTTTCTTAACAATTCTTGCCAAAAATGCTTGTGGCTAACTGTATTCATAATTCAACTTAATGTAGCATAAGACAACTCATGAAAAGTCAACAAATTCCTCTTCTCCCGTTGGTAGTTCATACACAATTTTTATTTGTTTTTTGACATTAAATAAATTAATAAAATCTTTAGGAAATTTCACCAAAAGACATACGAGTAAGCATGGGAGCTGTCATGGATCAAGGTCTCACTCTGATAGGAAAGGACCTTATGATCAACCCTATCGTGAATAATGAAAATAAGTATCTCCTGCTTAACTAATGTAATCGGAAACAAAGTGACTAAATGCACATAGATACTGACCTAAATAAAAATAATAGTAGCATGTGTGATTTTATATTTTTCTTAATTAACATTTCTAAACAAAATTTTAAAACGCATTAAACAGGCATACTCGACAACTTGTGCTAAAATATACCTTCAAGTAAACGATGTCCTTCAATTCAAACTATAATACATATTTATGCTTACCGATGAACTGAAATTGCGAAGGTCAGAAGCATCTCTGACGTATATCCAAGAATCAGGAACATCAATTAATGGATCTTGTAAAACTTCTTCCTGGAAATATAAAAAAATATTTTGATATAATGAAAAGATATTGGAAGAAATAACAAAGCATTCATTTTAAAACTTTTCTCCCAAACTGACCAATTCTCAACGAATTTATTGCAAAATTATCATTGAAAATATAGTTACTAGAAATAATATTTTCTTGTTTCAGTATTCTAATGACATCAATTAGTTTTATATTGTCAAATGCTTTGCTTAGGTCCGCAAAGCATAGGAAAGCTCGTTTGTTAAATTCTAGAACTTTTTCCATGATTTTTCGGATGATAAAAATTGTGTCCGTGCATGATCTATCGCATCTAAACCCCTGTTGTTGTCTTCCCATTCTATCATATTCACGAGTGTGTTAGTAATACATTTCGTGAGGATTTTCAATGAGCTGTTTAGGAGGTTTATCTCTCTGCAATTATCTGGATCGTGTTTGTCGCCTTTCTTAATTAGAGGGATAAAAATGCTCTATTTCCATTCCTTTCGTATTGTTGCATCATTTAAAATTGTATTAATAAGTTTGGTTATGTCTATGCATAAGGCTTTTCTTCCATATTTAATGAACTCATTATATATTCCATCTTCTCCAGGTGACTTCCGATTTCGTAGTGTTCCGATTACTTTTGATAATTCTTCACATTTTACACACTGTTCCTTGGATGTAAAACCTTAACTAAGTCTATTATTTCTGGTGTGTCATCGTGGAGTAGTTTTTTTAAAGTATTTTATCCATGTTTCATCAGATACTTTATATGTGCTAATAAGTTCATTTATTTCTGTCCTCTGGCCTCTAATGAATCTCCAGATATTTTTTGTCGCCCATTTAAATCATGTTGAAGTCGCATGTTGAAGGAGATCCAGTAATTTTTCTTTACTTCTCTAATCTTTGCATTAACTTTGTTTTTGATATTTTTATATTCGTGATGTGTTTCTGGTGTTTTATTCTGTTTGAATTTTATATATGCCGCTCTTTTCTTTCGTGCTATATCCTTCACTTCTTCAGTAAACAAAGAGTATTTTTTTCTTCTTTTTTTTCCCCCCATTTGTTTCTATTATTTCTACGGCCACTTTAGCAGCTTGAACGATTTTTTTTTTTTTTTTAATGCCATGACATTTCTATGCAGTCATTATCCAAGACTGATTCGTGAGATATTTTGTCATTCAGTCTGCTTTTATACAGATATCTGGTAGATTCATCACTTAGTGCTTCAATATTTATCTTTTGTACGTGTTCCGTTTTTTCTTTTGCAATATTTTTCTTCATAATGAACATTTGTAGTTTTATTAATACCAGGTTATGATCACTGCCAATATCCGCTCCTGATAGGCTTCTTACATCTAGTATTTGGGATGGGTGAATTTCACAATTAGTACGTATAAAACATACGTGTATGTTTATATATATATTGCAAAATTATCATTGCAACATACGTGTATGTTGTATATATATATATGGAAAGACTCGTTAAAAATCCTTGGAAAATACAATCTTAGACTTTAGATGAAGAAGAAGATAGAAAGATGAGGCGTTACTAAAAGATAAATAATGGTATAACCAATATAATAAGTTAATCGAATTTTACAAACATTTTCAAAAGTACGTTGCTATCCATTAATAAAATAATAATAATAATAATAATAATAAATAAATAATAATAATTAAAATTAATAATACAACAACAATAAATTTAAAATATATGAATAATAATAATAATAAATAATTAATAATTATTATAATAATAATAATTAATAATAATAATTAATAATTAATAAGAATAATAATAATATAATAATAATAAATAATAAAATAATTAATAATAATAATGTCTCCCAAAGCCCAGCCTACGTTCCGAGCAATTGAGACTAGCACGTGGAGACGGCAACGTCAGAAAAATTGGCGCAAACAGGGCGTGCACACCCATAGAGATATGGAGACACGAATTTTGCGGTCGTAAGCCTCGGAAAAAGCAGCCGCTGCCTGAGCGCCGGTCACCTTTCGACCACCGCTGAGTGACAGCATCAGCCTGTGATCAGAGCTGACAGCGGCCCTGATCGATAACCCAATATACAACAGTCCGAAACATAGCAGCACCCATCCATCTCCACTTACAGCTGCACCTGCCGCAGTGCTTCAGAAAGCAATCTATTGCTTCCAGAGGACCACTGCCGCAGGAGCAACGCAGAAGGATGAAGTGGGATTAAAATAAATACCTTCATCATGCGATAAATACTACACCATACCAAAATGAGGACTGACACTACGCCTACCGACAAAAGTTACATCAAAGATTCTTCACCGTTTCCTGTTCTGAAGTTGTGAGCAAAGAATAGCGACCAGCGTCGAGCAATGTCAGAAAAATCTCCTCTCTGCACCAGTTTTGGAAGCAATCAAGGAAAAGTGAGAAAATGCTAAACTCCTCAGAACCGTAATCTGAGTGCAGTGAGACATCCAGCCGTGCAAACTCAGGATGAACAATGGACAAGCATGTCAGAAAGTATGGATGATAAGAGTAGAGAAGCAGGGTGGAAGTCGCAATGAATTTGCAGTCGCACTTGCGGAATTTGAAGGAACGGACCCACTAACCCATCCTCATTTCCCAGACAAAAATGCTCGAAAGGAATTAGCAAGAGCAATCAGCGTCTTGAATGAGAAAGTACTGCCACAACATCTACAACAAAGTTACCATCTTTCGAAGAGTACACACAGCAATATTGTGCTGCTTGTTGCGTCAAGATGTAACGGTCCAAGCTTTTGCACGCCCGTAGCAACTTCCCACAATGATCGAAGTGAAAAAGAATGTCCACCTCTGCTTGGAAAGACGGCTGGTGAATCGTGAAAGAAAGCGCCCTCGGAGAGATTTGCGTAGACACTCTACGCAATTTAAAAAACGGAAATTACCTCAAAAAATGATAGATAATAGGTGAATAAACATACCTCTTCAATACAAAAATTCATACGCACAGCAGCGAGCCCTTGAATCAACAATAACAGAACATTCTGACACGCCCATAACGACAAAAAGCTTTGGCGTTAACAATACCGCTTCGACGTCTTACAGGAATTTTTACTACGAGGAAGCAACAGAATGTCCTCTTTTTAACAGAAACCAGAAAGCATTCTACAGGAATACTGTCAAAGGGCAAAGGGCGCTGCTAAACTATAGGACACGAGCAGTCAAAGCTCTCCTCAAAGGCACAAATAAGTACCTTTGGAAGCCTATCTGGTCATCCTGTCTGGTGTCACAACCCAAGATATGACGTGATTTGAATATGAATTGACAGACACCGAGATATCCCTCTAATGTGTGAACCATCTCACATTCACCGGAAATTGTCCAAGCAGCTTTGGAGCCAAAGCATCATAACTGGAAGGCTCAACCAGGCAATTATTGCTCAAAAGGGCTCACAATTATTGGCTCCACATTAGGCCTCTCTCACAATTTTGGCTCAAAAAATTTACCAACTCACCATCAATATAGCTAATATAATTCAAAATATTTTCTTTCCACAGATCCAGAAATCACCTCATTCCTCACGTAAGGATAGGAACTTTTTGTTTACCAACCAGAGGGTGACACTAGAAGACACCTCGTTAAGTACAGGCCCTATAACCTGCCTTCAAAACTTTCTGACAACTCATAACATCTTGTGTTTCCGCAAATGGATTTTGACACCCACTATATGAGGAACAGAACATCTTAGCAAATGAAGCAGAAAGGATGTAGACCTGGATCTCAGGGATAGTAGAAGGCAACTGCATTATAGACTCTGTCAATTATGGGGCAAGTGCTGACAAACAAAGAAACTTGTACGCATGCTACATTTAGATTACGCTAAAGCTATTCGCACACCCCGTGCCCCATTCTTGCTTCACTATCAATGTTTTGATGTTACAAGGTCCACCCGCTCTACTCCAAAACTTTCTAAAACATGCGTATGACGTCGATTGGAATAACAAACTGTATCTCCTACTATGGAAACCGATCCGTCCACACAATACTATACACATCCGCCGAGGATTTTCCAGAGGTGACCTCTTTAAGCCTTTATTGTTCTGTTTAGCCTTGAATTCCTCTAATCTACTTAATTCATCTAATTATGGAATCGCTCTAAAAAGGGGAACTCAACCTCTTCTTCGTGTCTCACATCTTCTTTACATGGGATGACCTTGAAGCTCTTGGGCAGACACGGAAGTCATAATGCGGCAACTAATAAACGTGACGGAGAAGTTCACTGACGACATTTAAGATAGAATTCGGTTTGATAAGTGAGGCGAGTGAAATATCATTCGGGGTCATAGCAAGTTTATAAATTTGGAAACTGATAATTGAACCAAAGGATTCACCTTCATGGAACGCCCATGAAACTTAACAAATACTATGGGTTTCACACAGTCACTCCAGAATTACAAACACCACTGTGTGTACTAAGAATCATCTTAACAAACTGAAGTGTGTAAACGATTGCATGGGCTCTTAAAAACTCAACTCTCTGCCAGAAACCTGTGCACCGCCATTTCATTCTATTTGTTATTCTCAGTAGCTGACATATCCTTTGGGCGTTATTACAATGGAGCAATACCGGGCCTCGACACTCCAGAGAACAATTCGACGCGCTGATGACTCAACACCGAAAACCATCACTCCCCCATTCTAGTCTGAGCGTTTTACCCCTTCCAGGTCGCTAAGGAGGCGCGGTAGTGTTATATGTGATCTCATAAATCTAACCAGCTCTCAATATGCTTCACTCAGAAGAGTACCTTTGGAACATGTGTGGACGAGTTCCAGCAAGCAGTGAGCGTCAGTGATTAACTATAGTCCTCTGAACCTTTGAAAAAAGTCTTGATCCGCCTGTCTCAACCAATCATTGAACACCGGAAGAGTAATGTAAACCTTTTTATGGAAAAGCAAAAGGACTGCATGGAAGGTACCCTCACGAGCTGAGTTAAACCAGAATCGCACATATCTGCGTCGCTAGCAATGGCTCCAGCACGGGGATTCTTTCCGGGAGACAGAAGCCTTCATATACTATCCAGGACCAGTGGGTACCAACATTTGAAGCTACAGAAAATCACATTCTGAGAGATTCTATACTGCATTTCCGACTCGTGTAGAAGATGTGAGGCTGCAAGCGAAACTATCCACACGTGACACAGTGGATGTAGCAGCCACGCACAGGTTGGAATACAAAAAAAGGCCATGATTGAAGTGGCGAAGCACGTTACACCAATTATTGGCGTTGAGAACGGACTTACTCGCCACTTCCGTGCCGTATTATTAAATATGAGCCTCAGAATGTGGCTTGAAAGTAGTGAGCGCCACACTCTACTGGGATCGTTCCATTCTCACTGCACAGACATGTCGCGGCACATAGACCAGAATAACGTACATTGATAGAAACAACAACAGCAGTTTTCTTTTATCCGATATATCACTACGCCAATACCCACAACATATCCGGATAAATACTCAAGAGAAGATCCATGTAATATAACAATCTCGCTTATGACAGTCGCAAACTCAGAGTGGAACTCAGTAAAAGTGACGACTGTGGCCTATAATAATATCAGCTACGGATGTGATCCCGAAAATGACACTTCGGGCACTGGAGTGGTCTTCACTTGGATACCAGGAAGTATATAAATATGCACAAAGACAGTATATTTGAATTACATGCTCGTATTGTCAAAGCCATCTGAACCCTTCCAGTAAACGGCCAACCACACACCTGGTCATCATCAACTGTGTGTGGTTGACTACCGACCAGTAGATCTTGTGATAGATGTAAGATAATAATAAATAATAATAATAATAATTAAT